ATTTGGAGGGAGAAGTGGGTTGTTGGCAGACTCCCCAAGTTGGATTTAGAAGTGCAACATGAGTATTAAAGGCTTGGGTTTTTGAAAAGATAAAATATTTTTTGTTTACTGCATTCCTTTAGGGTTGCAAAAAAATAAGGCCAATTTTGCCCAGCTGCTGGCTTCCATTGTCTTTTTTCCTTCATGTCCCCCTCCTCTCCTTGCTCAGTTCCTCTCTCTTGCCTCCCTTACTCCCTCCTTCCTTCCTTGGAACTGCAATGACCTTGTCTTTCAAAGCTGATGAACTTTTTGGCTTAACGTTAGGATCATGATTCGAGAAGATTTGTTTAGCTTGCTCACCTGGGACACAGGTCCTCTTAAAAGCAGAAGCCCAGTCTTGGCTGAGAGTCACGGGAGAGCGTGACTTTGAAAAGTGACTCTAGGGATGCATCGTTGCTGCTGCAAAGATAAACGAGGAGGCAATGAGCCAGCCTCGGGCAAGCTGCGAGCCAGAATCGAGGCTGCCCTGTGCCAGGAGGGAGCCTGGCGCTCGCCCCAGCCTGTCCTGAGCCTGAGGTGCCCAGGGCCACGCTCTGACCTACAGAAGTGTCAGGTAACACATTTTGACGGTTTAAGCCAGTGCCTTTCTGGAAATTAATGCAGGCAGGCATTCAAAACTACAACAGTTCGTATCTATTTGAAACAATTCCAGCAGAACACTTAACAGCTTTTCCTATAGAAATTGAAAAGTTCATTCTAAAACTTAATGAGTCACAGACTACCTGTAATAGATTACGTCTTGAAAAATTAAAACAAAAAAAGAGTCTCTTTCAAGATTTACCACTTTTCACTTATAGGAGGCCAAGACTTACTAAAAGTTGCACTGCTCAAGGTAGCTAGGAAATTCAGTCGTGACAGAACCTTAGATCAACAGTATCTAAAGTCAAGAACCAAATGACCCGAACATATCAGCCTACTGATGTGTTACAGAGGCTACAAAGCAATTCAATAAGACAAAGAGCCTTTCAGGAATGTCCAGAAACAAGCTGGCCAGCCAGGCTTTACACACCATCTACAAAAAAATCCCATGAGATGGACCATGAATGGAAAAGTCAAACTAATGCAATTTTAGAAAAAAATAATACATTTTCATGATGTTTGGGTGGGTAAAGAGTTATTTGAACATATAAAACAAAACTACAGAAGATATTTTTAAGGAAATGAATAGGTGTTATGGTTTGTGTCTAGTTGTCAGGGCAAAGCCTCATGCAGTCATGGGGCAGACTTCTACAGTCTGTGATTAACTCATGATCCACTGGGATTATGGGTGTGAGTGCTGTGGGGATTATGGGTGTGAGTGCTACACCAAGCCTGGAGCACATAACCTGAAGGCAGCATAAGGGAGACAGACTTACTGTCTGTTGCTGTTGTTGCTGCTGCTCCTCCCTTTTGCTCTTGCTGTTTTGCTGTTTTCCACTGCCGTGAACTGCTGCCCTCTGCCATGTGCCAGTCTGCCTTTGACCCAGCGAGCATGGACTGAAACCTCCACAAACTGTGACCTGAATAAAGGTCTCTTCCCTTCACTTTGGGTGTCGGGTATTTGTTCCAGCAATGAGAGAAGAGTAACGGAGACAAGAGGCAAGTCAGTGTATGAGTTACAACTGAAAAATATACCCAGCACATGTGATGGTTACACACAGAACCAATCATAAAAAGATTTTTAAATCCACTAATAAATGAAAGAAAAATCTGCGTTAGACCCTTCACAAAAGAAAATACAGAAGTGGTCATTAAGCATACGGGAAAGTCTTCAGCATTATTAGTCATGAGGGAAATGTAAATTCACCTGTAGTGAAATATTTCTTCACACCTGGTATTTGTCGCTAAAGTTGTTCTAAAATGACAATATCAAATGTTGGAGAGGATTTTGCACAAAATAGCTGGTGAGCATGTAAAATGTTAAAGTTCCTTTGTAAAACTGCCTGGCCGTTTCTTTAAAAGTTGAAATATATCCTTACCCGATCACCCAGGATTGAACTATCATTTTCTAAAGGGAAATGGAAATCTATGCCCATCAAAATGACAAATATCCGTAACAGCTTTGTCCAGAGAACAAAAGAGACATAGGTCAGTTGTCAAGGTGAAGGAGGATACGCACAGTGGACTACACATGGGCCATAAAAGGAAGAAAACTTAAAGATGGGCAGAAAATGGGGAAATGCCAAGAGCAATGTGTGGGGCCCACTTGGGTCTCCATCTGTCCACACACCTATCTGTCTTTTTGTATTCTAAGAAATTTATATGAAGTTTAAGAATAGGCAACCTAGTCAGGATGACACAAGCCACAGTGTGGAAATTAATGGTAATGGGTAGGTAGACACAACTGTCTTGGATTTTAATTGTGGTGCTGTTTACTTAATTGGTCCAACTGCTATAGCTGTGCACTTAACAGCTGTGCATTTTATTGCATTTGAATTATTTCAAAGGTAGTTAAGATGTGTTTTGTGTGTGTACCAACTCCCCATAAGGAATGTAAACATGTAATGCACACATATACTAATAAGTACAAAATGAAAAATCACAATAAAACGGATAGTAGAAAAAACATACTTAAGAAATTTCTAGGTTGGCGAGATAGCTCAGTGGCATAAGCACCTGCCTGGCAAATGAAGGTCCTGAGTCCAGTCCCCAGTACAAAAAAAAAAGTTTCTAATTTCCAGGCTAACAAATAAGTTGACATTAGTAATCTTGTGCATTGATTTCTATTATCTTGGCTCCTCTTGCATACAAAAAATTGTTCTCTAGCAGTATTTATCAAGTGAGAATGAGGTATTATTTGTTGCAGAAATATATATAGTATCTGAGAAGCTATAAATAAATGAAATCATAATTAAGATACCTAGAACAAAATCATAAAGAAAATGACACATTACATATATCTCTATATGAGGTACAGAAAAAATGGTGTTTTAATGGAAATATATAGCTTTTAATATTGTAAAGCAAGTGTTTACATTATGAGTTGCAAAATGAAAAGCTAAATAAGCACTGTAGTTTGTGAAAGATTAGTAAAATAAGCACAGAAAACGTAGAAGATTTAAAATCATGGGAGCAAAAAGTAGTGAACTACAACACGAAATACAATAAAAGGATCAACAGTCCCCAAAATGTGTTTGTCTTGATTGAGACGAGCGGAGTTCAGTGACGCGGGAAGACAAAAGAAAGAGAACACCAAAATGGCTGCCAGTGTGCGCGTCAAGCAAAACGTAATACGTCATTACGTAAATAGCCTAGCTGCTGAGAGAGAAAGGTTGGCGCGGAGCAGGCTGTCTTGGCGCATTCC